AATATTTTTTTCTTAAAACGAAACACTTTATATACAATACATACACATACCTATATAATAATGTGGATATATAAGATACTTAATAAATTGGCGTTCCGCGGCCCGCCATTTCCCGCCATCCTTGCCTATGGTCCGGATTATTTTTTAATTGCGGCCCGAGGCTAAGGCGATCGTTTATCGGCCGGACCGTTCATCGGCCGACTACTCGTCGTACGGCTTCCTGTGTTTACCGCCGCAGCTACTTACTTAATGGGGTCAGGTTAATCCATTTACGATGGAGGCAACACATTCCTTTCCGACATATCATAAGGACATGTCTTCATTAATAAATTCCTTCGGGTAAACTAGGTATGCAATTATTTTTGCCAATGCAAATGAGGACAATGATTTATTGGAATGTTACATGTGTATCTCATATATATATATATATATATATATATATATATATAATTTATATTTATATGTAGTCAAACAGTCACCATAATAATTCTAAAAATGATCATTTATGATTAGACGTCGTATAAAAAGCAGTTTTTACTTGAATTTTAATATTTGTTTAGTAACTACGTACAGACACGTCTATTCCATTATTGATATACACTGGTTAATTAAATCGGACACTTCTCTGAAATATCCTCTAGTAGTAATTTTGAAAAATTAAATTTAATCAGCTGCCTTTAGATTTAATTCACATCTCGATTTCGTAACTGCATATAATAAAATAAATCACTTGACAGTTATAATATCGTATATTACTTTCACCAATAAAGTTTCTACATCGAGACTCAATAATTTATAATAAACAAGTAAAATGTGTCAAATATTTCATTTTATTCGCTAGTTACGAAATAAATTTTCTTTCGTCAGTTTTATCAATTTATATATTTTATTATATATTACGTGATTATAAATTAATTGGTATGTTTTTACTTGTTTTATAGAAACAATCAAAAGTTTAATTTTATCTTTTTAAAACCTAGTTATTTAAGCTAGAAAAGCTAGTAAATTAAAAATGTGCTACATTTTTAACATCGTTAAATATAATGGCCACGAAGTAAAATAGTATAAAAAAAGATCAGAACAAAAATTTATGAAACAAAAATTTTTGGCGCGCTTGAGAATCGAACCTACAAGAATGCGTGCAAGACCAGTCCGCCATGACATCAACTTTTACGCTATTCGAACACCCAATATTTATTATTCTTGAACGATAATTTTCTGCTATAATTTTGAAAAAAGCTTAAATTATAAGTGTATCTTCCCTCTCTTGCCCTTAACCGACCTGGATGGGATCGGAACATCATGCGAATAACGTTGTTTATGGTAGTGGTTAAAGGTTTGAATGAACCTTTTTGGGAAAAAATATCCAAATCCATAAAGATTATCTGTGGGTCCCGTGTGGATTTCGAACGCACGACCCCCAGCGCCGAAGCCTAGAAGCAACTGCGGACAAACTATCATTAAACTACTGACGGACTGTCATTGAGTTCATTTATGTTGTGTGTGGCAAATCTTACTTTTTTGAATTAATTCGCATATGAATGAGATTAATGCAGACTACGAAACAAGGTATGTCTCTGAGACAGTTGAATTAATGAACTATTAGTGGAACTCAAGAATTAGTAGCTTGCTTCTATTTTACAGGGTGTTTCGTTTTAACCGTAGGATATTATACCAGATGTCCCGGAATATTGATATGGAAGCATTTCGGAGCAGTTTGGGTAACATTCTTACGCCACGTCAACTACTCCCAAAGTAAACAAAGCTCGTGCAATGGGTAATAGATATCTGATAAACATACTAAACATTATTTTATTTTGTATATAAATACGTATTAAAGATGTACAAATACACTTACTATCAAAACACTGTTTATTAAACAATGTTTTTTCAGTTATGGGGATCGAACCCACACCCTCTAGTGTTAGATAGTTTTACTACCCACTACGCCAATCGGGTTAAACCATTATAAAATATTGTATGTAAAAATTTTCATAAGCCATACAAACATTTTCACCAAACATATTTCAAATAAAATTATTTCTAACATTTCTTTTTTTTTTGATGACTCCACGGCGCAGTTGCCAAGTTATTGGCTTCAGCGTCGGGGGTTGTGGGTTTGATTCCCACATGGAACAACTATTTGTGCGACTCACAGATAGTTTTTTCGCATCTGGTTGTTTGTCCACGTGATATTTATGTTTGTAAAATCGTCCTTACAACACAGGATAATGTTATCCTAAAGTGCAATGTTTTTTTCAAAAAAAAAACAATATTTTACCTCTACTTCAAGCAAAGACATCTATTATCAAGCGTCCACAAGGTTTTACAGACCCAATTCCCTTCATAACAATGCAAAAATATTGATAATTACGCCAATATCCAATATTGCTCCGTTATATGAACAAAAGGAAAAAAAAAAGACATTTTTAAAATGTTTCTCTATGGGTATACTTGTGATATAGTAATTTCTGAAGTAAGATTATTATATTTACAAAAACGACGCGCAATGTATTTTATTCAAATCTTATTCCTTATATCTCAAGTAATAGCTCCTTTTCTGTACGTAATTAACTCAATAATTATCATCATAGGCTTTTCAGGTTTGTTCCTTCAAGAAAAAGGTACTATTATTCGGTAGGACATTGGATGAATCATGTGGTTTTTGTGACGCGACAATAAACGTACCAAGCTAAATTAGCAAAAACTTAAGAAGCGAAGAATATATACGTAACGCCATAACAACTGCTTGGTGGAAATTCATAATGTAAAAGTTTCAAAGAACGCTAAAAAAAAATTGAACACGAAAACTTGAATAAATCAAAAATATATTGACTTACCTCCAAAATTTGCAATTTATTCTAAAACGGACGCGTCGACTTATTTATTATTCAGTTTAACTCACAAAAGTCCAATTCAAAACACTAATATACTTTTTTACTTATAATTATTTCATTACGTAAAAAAATATATAATACAAATTTCTCTCATGTATCTCGAATTCACACCTTTTTGTATTAAAGTCGTATTAATTCTCGCGCGGGAATGTTAACTTTTCGCGGTATATTGTTCGCGCGTTCGAACAGCACACATTCCGCTACACGACTCTGCTGCTGCTACTACTACGTCAGAGGAATACAAAACAATTCCGACTCGGCAATCGGTATTCGATTCGGTGTCGCATTCGTAGCGAACTCTCCACTAACGTCACGACATAGACATAAAGTACGACTGACTCACTGAAGTGGAATGCACGTTTTTCCCCCATTAATCCCTGCAACGGCATCTTGTGGTAAAACTTTAAAATAAATAAATGATGAAAGTGCCATCTATTCATCATCTCCTGTATTAAGAAAGCATGCGTAATATGTTGCGGATCATACCAATATTGGATTTTTTTACTTCATAATCATATTAAATTTTAAATCTAGCCTAAGGTAATATTATATTTATCTAATACACATAAAATTGATACAAATACTTTTCATAACATTTATTTTAATTTTTTTCTTTAATAAATAAATCAACTTCCAATTTTATTAAAACATATCACAAAATGCCATGCTCCGTTCTATTCACAATTTATTTGTAGTATTTTGTCTTTTATTATGAATTTCATATATTTTGGGGAACAAAAATGCTATGCATTTGTAATCGGTTTTAGGGAGCCTACCGTTGTCATTTTTTCGATAATTAATTATGAGTGTTAAGTGAAGTATAGTATTAGTAAGTAAGCCGGACCATTTGTACACATACAGGGCTCACGCACACATTTAATTCAAAGTAAGCCGACCGTCTGTCATAAAAATAAAATAACGCCATCTTGTTTTGTGGAACGGTATTAAAAATAATATGTTCCAGAAAAATTGTTAGGAAACTAATTTTATTGGTTTATTTAATATATTTTTGACATTTTAAAATCATATAAAATAAATGGGTAATTCCTGACATATTCGGTACCATTTTATTGTGTTTATTGTAATTACTTGCAAGCATTGATTATGATTATTTTTTTAATTCTTCGTGTAGCATATCAACTGTGAAATGGAACAATGACTGGATGAAAATTATAAAAAAACTGCAGAGTTTAAGAACATTGGATTGCATCCAAAACAAGTGTGTTATGTAGAGTCCCCCCAGGTTCTCCTATGAAAATGGGTGTCCCCCAAGGATCAATTATGGGCACATTATTATTTTTAGTATATATAAATGCCCTTTTATGCTAATGAGTTATGTGACGATACATTGCTCATTTTTAAGGTTGACCGAAATGCATTAAATTATGGCGCACTTTCGCGTATCCTCCATTGGTTTACCATCACTCATATGTATGCTTAATTGTTTGGATACATACACTAGAGGGTAGAGGTAAGAAGAACTGTCTCGTATGGGGGAATAGCTGTAGCACTAAATCCAGTTGTAAGCCGTAAATAACAGTTCCCAATCTTTCCAGAATGGCGCTAGAATAGCAAGAGGGAGAGGGTATGAAATATATTTAACCGTCCAAACGGAGTGAAGTGCGCTGAATAGAAAATTTTTTTTGGTATGAAGCGTAAAGATGAGGACTTGATGAGGTCAATCTAATATTCCCATAATAGATTGTCTTCCTCATCTGTACACGATGTTAAAAAAATGTCCAGTGATAAGTAGTAAATAACAGTTCAAAAATCCATTAGGGTGGTGTGATCGTAGCCAACGTGTGTAATTGTTTTCCTTGTTGAATTGAATTTTAGTGACTTGTAACCATGGCAACTATTAATTCTTCATCGTTGCTTAATATCCACCTTCTACCGTAGGTAGTGCCAACAGTTTAATGCCTATCAAAGGACCATTTTTATACACACAGATTGGTTTCCTCCATGCTATAACCTACAAACTTCTGTTCTATTCTACACTAAAAACCAGATATATAAAAGTACTCTTTGCTAAAAACCATCAACAACGATAAATTTTAAAACATTAAAGTTGTCTTTGGTCTAATTCGTTCTTTCTCTGTCAAAATGGCTGCAGTGCAAGAGGTGCGCGATATTATTTCTTTCCACAATGTTTAGTGATTTACTATTAAAAACGATGAATTCATCTTTAATTTACGCGTTTTTCATATTTACAGGCAAGACGTGAACCTATTCAGGCCGTCCAAGTTTTTGGCCGCAAGGTGAGTGTTTCGGGTTGTGTCCACGTGTTTGTTATTAGGTATCACCTATTTATTTAATTATAGAAGTAATCATTTGATTATTTTTTATACTTAAAATGTTCTTACTTTTAGTGTTACTGTCACTTTATCTTGCCATTTTATCTTTGTTTAAAAGTTGCAGATTTCAGTAAGTCATCCAAGAAACGCCGCATTTATGTCATTTATTATATAAAAGGAATTAGTTCTTTACATTAATATTCAGTTACCTCTATATGTTCCGTCTTAAATTTGTAAAGAACGTTGCAACATGAAGTTTGATAGTACATTTTGTAACGCAGAATACTTAACCTCAAAAATTGATTTCATTGACAATTATGATAGTAGCAGCAGGGGTTATTTTGGCTTAGCCTCCTTCCATGGTTCAAGGCTGCACTTGGTTATCTAAATGAAAATAATTTTGATTTGTTTAATTTGGCGCGCTTTAACAGAAAACAGCGACCGCGGTTGCTTACTGCAAACGCGGCCATGGGGTACTCCGTGTGAACGGGCGCCCGCTTGATCTTGTGGAGCCGCGTCTTCTACAGTACAAACTGCAGGAGCCCATCCTACTCCTCGGCAAGGTAATTATCCTATGTATCGCTGATTTCATTACTAATCAATACTCTGGCATTTTATGTGTCATGTTGTGTAGTGTAGTAGCTTGAGTATCTAGTAAAATTCTAGTATAAAATCATGTGCATGCATGTATATTTCAAGCTATTAGTCCTAATAATTAATTTAATCCTTATTATAAAATTAATCACTTCAGTCTTCTGTATTTCAATTATACACTTAATATTTTAAAAAAATTATTAACTTATTAGATTTAAACCCTTCCCAATATTTAATCATTACTTCATATGTTTTTGTAACTGTTGCATTGTATGTTGTAAATGTTGTCATTCTAACTGTTGCATGGTCACTACTTTTTCATTTGCACTGTGCATGATGTTACTTTGCATTCTAATTTGCTCAGAGTTCATTTTTGTTTGACATTTTGTAGTTTTTATTATAGTTTGTAGAATATTATATAAATAGTTTGCCATTAAATTGTTATGTTTTGTAATTAGTACAACTAACATTAATACTAACATTGTTTTATTAATTCTTTTAAATGATGAACAAATCTTATTCCGAACCTGAGTATCTTTGGATGTGAAGTGAAAATTGATTCTGATTTATTATTACCTTACAATGTGTTATAAAGAACTGTAACTTCAGTTTTTAATTAAATTCATTTTATTGATTTTCCAGGAGAAGTTCTCCGGTGTTGACATCAGAGTTACAGTGAAGGGTGGTGGTCATGTAGCACAAGTGTACGCCATCAGACAGGCTATCTCAAAGGCTCTCATCGCCTTTTACCAGAAATGTGAGTTTTTTAGTTTCAATATGGAAATTTTGTCCTTGAAGGAAAACTTTAAATTATCATTATGGCAAACAATTATAAAATGCTAAATTAAGAAAACTTTTTTTTTATTTGTATTGTGATAACTAAATTATTTTTGTCACATGTATTCTAACTAGATTACAGTAATATGAGTGAATTAACAATTGCCGTGATAGCTCAGTGTCCGGGCGCTCGCCTTTAATTCAATATGTACTCGAGCAACCTGAGTTCGATCCCCGGTGCCGGCACCAATGAAGTTTTTAACTTTAAGTGCTGAATTATCACGTGCTGCGCGGTGAAGGAAAACATCGTGAGGAAACCTGCATATTTTCGAAATAATAACAAAAAAAATGTTTTTCGAAAATATGTGAAGTCCGCCAATCCGCAGTGGGGCCGCGTGGTGGACTATGCCCTGATACCCTCTGTATAGAGGAGGCCTTTGCCCAGCAGTGGGACATGTATAGGCTGTTACTTTACTTACTTTACTAACAATTGTGAGAAATTGAGAGGTTTTGGTTTATATTTTTACAAATTGTAAATAATGATGACTCCGTGGCGCAGTTGCCAAGGTATTGACTTCGGCGTTGGGGGTCGTGGGTTCGTTTCCCACACGGGACAAGTATTTGTACAACCCACGGATAGTTGTTTCGCAACTATCTGTGGGTTGCACAAATAGTTGTCCCGTGTGGTACTAAATTTAGCTTGTTAAAGCTTGGAGCCATTAAATAAGTATGGAGAAGCATAGTGTACTATGCTATATTGAGGTTTTATAGTTTCCATTCACTTTCAAGTCCAGCTCAAGCGCTTAAATGTGTTTGAAGTTGACCCTTTTAACCCTTTCAATGCACTGTTGAATGTAAAAATTGTAAAGGTCCATCTAATATCTAAAATTGTTTTCACAACTGAATAATGAAATAGTTTGTAACTATGAACAGTGATCTATAAACTGTACTATGAAACTATGATGTCACAATGACATAAACAAATTGGTTCAATCGAGGCTCACTTAAAGCGCTCTGTATGTAACCCTTTCTTTCCAAAGCTGTTTTGTTCTCATACAAATCAGTCATTTCAGAGAAAGGAGATCAAGGGTGACATTTACCAAACGGCAAGTTCTCTTGATGGTTTGCTTGTTTGAAGTGTACACTACAATTATGTCTTAAAAAAGTAATTTTAGTCCAGTTGTGTATAAAGATGCAATGAGGTATAATGATCATATCAGCATCTGTCTTTTCCACTTTTCAGATGTAGATGAAGCATCCAAAAAAGAAATTAAGGACATCCTTGTCCAATACGACAGGAGTTTGTTGGTTGCTGACCCTCGTCGCTGCGAGCCCAAAAAGTTCGGAGGTCCAGGCGCCCGTGCCAGATACCAGAAATCCTACCGTTAATATCTTGCAGTTTGTGCATCATATGGTATCACATTGGTTTGTCCTGGCCAGTGTGATATTATATGGTGTTTTTAATAAAATTTAAAAACAAATTTTTGTGTTTTATTTCATAACACTTGTTGAATTCGTATTTGTTAAATTGATAATATTGTTCATAAGATCGCACAACTAAATATAGTCCAGTATGATTTACACAAAACACGCAACATGTGTAAAGTTGGAACGTATGCACATACTTGGTTCAAATCAAATCATTTATTCATCAAAGTAAGAAATATATATTTCATCTATCAACAGTCATTTTTAATTTTTATTTTTAACTATACTACATTTAGGTTATTTTATTTAATAAACACTGCACGTTAGTCCATATCGTTTCTACCAATATGATTATGATTTGTGTGAGAGGGGGGGTTTGGTACAAGCCCCAACTACCACTGTTTTTAAAGTTAGATTGCCTCCTCCATATCAACAACCGTAACGAATTTGAAGGATGATGAGGGGCTAAGAGTCAGCGCTAATTGGGTGCCAACTTGGGCCCTCAGTTCCCGACTAATACTGACCAGGGCATTCACGACGGGATTGGGTGGTCTCGCTTGTCCCGCGCCACTTTTGATTCTCGCCAAGGCGACGTACGACGATCATTATTAGTGGTGGAATAATAACGATGGTTGGGGCTGTGAAACTTTGGTGCGTATGAGAGTAAAATTTCTAGTCCGCGTCGTGTTCACGAAAACCGCACATGAACATGACACTTGCATCACTCATATCGGCCGTAGTCAGTTTTTCAGTGTACTCGTATATATGTGATAGATTTAAAAATATAGCTACATACAAGTGGATAAAATATTATTTTCGATGGGTACTAAGAGCTTCCGTGACACGAAGTTCTTTTCACGGGCTAGTACTTGCACCTTATCGAACCTGATGTAATGTGTGCCGTCGGAGTTAAGGGCGTGCTCTGCCACCGCCGAGGAGTTGATGTCCATTTTTCGTACACTGCGGATGTGTTCGGTGAGTTACTTATGTTGCGTCCAGGGCGAGCAGTGCGACTGCGGACTAATCTTTTTTTTTTTTTTTGGGCTGGATGAGTCACTGTTGGCCTTAGGGACCTTTACAGTTCCGACAGGCTTGAGGTGGCCCGGCGCACGAGGCGCTTAGCCTGAATCTCGGCGTATTATTATTACGCGTTATGGTGACTAAGCTCGAGGGCTCCCGGGGGAGCCTCGACTCGGGCCGTCACGCTATTATTATCACCGGTTTGGGAGGCCGCCAAGCTCTTAGGGCGCTTTGGCGGACGCTCCATGGAGTGATCAGGCTCAAGGGTCCCCGAGAGGGGACCTCGGCTTGGGCTGTCACTCAACACGCGTTAAGCATTCCGATTCGAGGGTGCCCGAGAGAGCCGGCCCTCGGCTCGATCGGTAGCTATTATCTGACTGGTGCGGACTAATCACACTCACCCCGATGAAGGACCGATGGTTCCTAAAGTAGTCGGTACAAACACAGGTTTAACGCGAGTTTAGCCGTCTTATTGTTACGTCAACAACGTCTCACGAAAATTTTAATAATTTTAATTTAAGTATTCATTAGGGGCTGGCTATTTTCATTAGGGGTACGGGAAGCAGGGGTAAAAGCGCTCTCTGGGTAATGGCGTTCACCTCTGTAACTGTCAAAATGTGCGGCTTACGTGAGCAAAGTACACACAAGCCTGTGTAAGACATATGTGTAAGACGTATGCAAGCCTTTAAAACAAAAGTGTGCGCCATTAACGCCATTTTACTAGAGATGTCGTTCGACCGTTTGAACGATGTTCAGACGTTCTAATAAATCAAAGTGATGTCTATACGACGCTGCGGTGAGATGAGATTTGAGAGTAACGAATGAATTTGCGAGTAAAACTTTAATACTTCGAGCGTAGCGTTATATCTGTTGCTTGGTAACGTAGATAGAGAAGACGATACTCATCGTTATTGTTTTTCAGACAACTGCGGCGAGTGCGCTGCAATTAATTGTCGCTGGCTCTTAAGCATCAAAATGGTCAAAGAATTTGTTTATTTTTAAAAGAAAAATCGTTGATACCTCACCAAATATCATGGTGTGTGTTGAGATATTGCATAAACGAGGAATATGCAAAGGAATAACTTTCCATCGTTGAGTGACGAAATATAAGAATTTTAAAATTAAATGTGACTAAAATATTTTATTTTACTGACTCTACAACGCACAATTTACGGTGCTTCAACTTTTTGGTTGCGAGTTAGTGCTGTATGAGTAACGAAGCGAACTTTCCTTTTAAATTATTATAACTAGTTCTGTTAGACAACATAGTGTGATTAGTACGTGAGATGTTATTTCAAATAAATATTAAACATTTAGGCCTTAGCGTAACTGGTGGCAGTAAAAGTCGAAAAATTGATTAAATATTTATTGATATCAAATTATGGCCTCATACAAAATGATGTCCACGTTTTAAATGCATGTGATATAAGCCAAACATTTGAACTTTTGGCTTTTTTAAGAAAACAAAGTTGATATATGTTTTAACACCATATGAGTTGATTGATAAGGTCTTGGAGGCCTTGGACATCATGCAGTTGTTATTAAATTAATAATATTTTAAAAGTGATGAAATAACTAAGCGATTAATTTAAGTTTTCCAAAACAATTATAGACATAATAACCAAAAAAAAAAAAACGAAATGCAACAAAAATTAAAGAACTATTCATTAAATAATTATTATGTCAATGTATATAAAATAATGAAACAAAACGTCCAAACAATAACAATGTTAGCATTTAATGTCTTTCCTTTTGTTCTATATTAAATAGATTCAGAGAATCATAACATTTATTTATAAATAAACTAATAATGATATAAACAGATCTTCTTGAGATTGATTATTAAGTAAGAAAAAAAATCTTAATATCTAACACCAGAAAATAAAAACTAAAAGTATGGCATTTACTATAAATGAGGGATTACTTGTTATTTGTATGAGAGTTATATGTTATTTGTTCTTAGTTGTATAATTATTAATGAACCGAATGTTCTCTTTATTAAATATGAAAAATCTTTTCTATAGCCTCTACAAACTAACCAGAGATAGAAAAAAATAATAACTAAAAAAAAAAAAACTCGTATACAGAATGAAGAATGTAGGATAACAAAACATTTTCAGCAACTAAGATTAAATAGAAAAAATAAAAACAGTCCATTGTGAAAGTCAGAAGTTCATTCATGAAACCTTTTTACAGATCTATTTTAGATAATCAGTCAGTGAGTTATTAATATGAACCTATGAATAATTTAGCTGCCTTTTAAATACTGATTTGATTGATAGCCTCTATGCCCTATGTCTTTTTACTTAAAGTGTTGCATGCAGTAAAAAAATATTTTGAGAATTTCGATTTTTGTTCTATTTAACAAGGCGTTTCAATTAACTTACAATAAAGTTCTTCTTAGTTAATGCCAACACTTATTGGTCTTCAATGGTATAATATTAGACCTTTCACTTATATGGAATATATTAAGCATTTTATAGTTAGTGGTAAATTGTATAACATCCAAAAATATTTATCTTTTTTATCTTTTACGTTTTAAATGAAATGATCTCATGATTGTTTTAGACAAAACTTTACCTCTAATGGAATCATTACTGTCCTATTTTGTATTTAGAGAATATAAAGACAACAGGCCGCCATTATGAAATGATTGTTTTTGTTTAAGTAGTAATTTTTTTATAGTCTCTTAATAAACAATACTAGTAATTCGTCTAAGCTTTTAAAGTTACCGATCTTTTTTCATTTGTTATTCGTGTATTGATTTCATATTTCAAAGATATTCTACCTAGATTAGGCACTCGTTAATTACATATTGTTATACACCTTCAGTTTTTTCTTCATGCACGTCTTCGAACTTCGCGCCCATTCTCTTCAGAGCGATGACGGCGGCAACAGCTTTCGCCCAGCGTTTTTTAATGACATATCTCTTCAGCTTGGTTTTAGTCACGTGTAGTTCGGTACATAGAGCCGATTGTATCAGCCATGGGTGCCTCAGTGTAGCCGAAGCTGACAGTCGCTCGCTATGAAAAAATAAACATTGAAATAAGATTAAGAGAGAAAATGTTAATAAATTATATATTATTTCGTATTTGATGAAACTTCGAAGCATTTTTGTTATCTCACAGTCGGTGGTGTTATACCAAGGAATTTTTTGGCGTTCTTTTTAAACATTGGGCAGCCGCCAACAAACTTTTACAAATTCGTTTTAATATCCTCCCAATAGAGCTGAATTCAATCCCCGTTAGTTATTTCTCGCTTAAGATATTAATTAGTATTTCTGGTCATTTTCCATGATTTCACCAAGCAGGAAGGACGAAAAGTAAGAGAAGTGAACACTTTAATAAAACAAGATCCTTTATAAAGCCTTATATTTTTAACAACATAAGTATCGTAAAACAATAAAATAAAAGTATTTAGTACATTACACTTAAGTACGGAAAAAGGAACAAAATTTTTAAATATGCGGGACATTATCGGAAGACTTTTTTATCTCCCCGAAATATTACAAGATATTTACAAGTAATATAAAATTAATCTATTGTCAATGTTATGGAAACAATTTCGAAATTACATCTCAGTCTTGTCTTGATTTTCGAACGGATGCCATACAGAGCTTTGTGTTCGGAGACTAGATTCGTATAACGTTGTCATTTCATTGTCATTTCTATGAGAAAAAAAAACTTAATGTCAAAACAATCTCATATAGTCGCTTTGGTAACACGCATACCACATATTCAGAAAGATAAACTCTGTATCGGTTTGAGTACTCCATTTTTAATGTGTAATGACGGAAAAAAGCAATAAGAGCTTTCAACATAAATTTTATAGAAACGAAATTTTCACAACCCCTACTTTTTAAACGAAAAAGTTTGCATACATAGAGTATTCTAAAAAGGAACAATAGCACTTTGCCATGAGTATTTTTAATGAGTTTAAAAATCGTGTCATACCGCGATTTATGTGAAATAAACAAACACTGAGGTCGTAATAATTTCATACACATAATGAGTTGTAAAAAAAATCGAATAAAGCTCTTATTGCTTACATTCAACAAGCGTGAGACTACAATTGCCACAAAAATTTCATTAATCATTTAAAATCTAAACTTCTTATAAAAAAGTCATTAACATTGGTTTCACTGGTCAAAAGCGTTTAAATCGGGAGATCCAAGGATACTGGTCATAAACCATTTCGAAGTCAACCTTTCTGAACAACACAATGTCATGGCACTAAAGTCCCTGTTTTCAAAACATACATACAATATTCTTACTGGGTAAATGAAATTTCACTTGTCATTTCTTCCTTTGTTTCTTCTCATCCGACGTTTGTCGTTGAAAGAAAGCGTGGAGACTCGACATGGAATTCTGGGCTAGCTGGTTCGAGGATGACCACTCTAGTGATATTGACTGATGCCTCCCACAGTTCGAGGTGCCGCCCGCCGTTCTCTCCCCCTCTACTTCGGAGTCCGCCCACTTTTCTAGAAGGTGCAACAGGCGGTCTTTCGTTCTATGTGCGTTGTTCTCATCCCCCCTCCTGTACGGCAGCTGTCTGCCGTTTTCTGGACCGTTCACCAGCTTACCGATAATCTCTCGCCTCTTGTCGAACTCCTCGAAGAAAGTGCTGCGGCGGTCGATCGGCTGGTCCGGCACGTCCCTGCTCATGTTAGTCAGCCTCTTCGACCTGGCCGATTTCGCCCACGGCATCTTGCTGGTCATCGGTCTCTCTTGCTCGCGCTCTGTGAGGAAGCTCGAGTTTATCTTGTTGCTCGATTTCGACGCGAAAACTTTCCTTTCCACCTTGCCCGCGTCGCCGTTGGTCAGCGCCTTCGCGAAGCACGGTTTCGTTTCGCCTTTGAATCCGTTGAGTTTCCTCTCCTCTTTTGGCGCTGGTTTACTCTCCGTCACGTTCTTGTCGAACTCTTTGAGGCTGTTGTTGTTCACCAGGTCGGTGCTCATTGTTGACAGCATGAACAGGTGGTCGGAGAGCTTCTTGATCTCCTCCGCGAGGTTTTTCCTCACCATGACGTCCTGCTTCTTATGCAGGAAGCAGCTGCTGTCCGAGGCCCTCCTCTCCACGGGGTTGTACCTTTGCTGTAGAGGCGTGGGGTCCCTCAGGGGCGGCGGCTCAAGGTCCTCCTCGAAGATGGCGTCCGGGGAGCTGCTGAGCGAGCTCCTAGGGGAAGGCGAGCAGCCGCCTATCGAGGATCTTTCGCAGTTGCCGTTTGCTAGGCACGTGATCTCGTGCGCCTGGTTGTCGAACACGTACGGCGAGTTGGGGTGCTCGCCCCACCGCTCGACGAAGAGGCGCAGGTTGTCCTTGGCGACGTCTAGCTCCTGCTTGGGCGGCGTTCGCGGCCTAGGCTTGTCCCTCTTCGGCGCGCGCCTCACGAGCCAACGGTGACGCAAACATTCGGCGGCGGTCGGCCGACACCTGCGACAAAGACCCTTGTTACTACGACCCGACACCTTATGAGTGCTGTAGCGGAGGACTGTGTGCATCCGTGGGTTTATGGGGGGGAGGGTGGTTTGGATTGATCAATTCTACCTGTACGTGGTGCAACCGTTTTGAACTGTGACTTCTAATGATTGTTAGCTCGTTTAGTTTAGTACTACGTTTCTACTTATGTTATGAGGCGTAAGGTGGACACGGTTATCGGTTAGTGGAGGGGCTTGTAACATTGGGTGATTAAATACCAGTAACGAAGGGTCTTTATCCAGGCTGACTTAAAACAGCTTTCGTCATGAGCTAAGAAAACTTTACTGCCAAAGACCATAGCTTTGGCGCAGTTCCAATACTTCAGTCATCTACAAAGTAATTTGTTCGTTTGTTTTTTTTTATGATTTTTTAATGAAACAATCAACATTGAAAATAAAATGTGTCAGGTAAGGACTAAAGTAAAGCTTATTCAACTATAAGGATTCAACCACACAAAAATCACACCAACAAAATCAATAGGAAACTCGTACAGACGCCAATCTGATAAACTAGTATCTCCTTATTTTCCAATATTTTATTAAATTTAACAGAACAAAAAAAAAATTTAAAAATAATAACAATTACTATTCATTTAATGAGCATTTTAAAGAAATATAGCAATTACTTATTGCGCCGTTATGTTGGTAGAGTTTGTCAAAATGGCGTCTAAACGAGCTCCATATTGCTTTTTACGCACTCTTTGTCTTTCACGAGCAGTTTCTGTATGAAGTCCTTGGCGTCATCAGATATCTCGTTGAACGCTTCGTCGTCGAAATCGTATTTAGCGACTGTGACGTTGGCCATGGTCTCTATATCCGTCTCACCCATGAACGGCGAAAGACCCGACAACCTGGAAAGATAACGGAAGTTTAACACATAGTTATAAATAACCGTTTTTAGATTATTTTGTCAGAACAACAACGTTATTTTCGTCCGCAAATACTTTGCTATCTTAACAATGTAAAAGTTAAACGGCATTTCATTGTAGATTTTGTATATTGAGATTGCAGGCTGAATTATTCGACTGACTATAAAAAAAAATAAGAAAAAATTATTATTGTAAGGTAACAAAAAGGTGTAGAGTACTTTCAATATTCCAAAGGCAAATTTCTATCAATTAAGTCGGGCTACATTCTTTTATAGACCGAACTCTAACAAATCGATTTGCTTCATCGTTTTGTATGCATTCATCGCTTGCAGCAAAGCTATACGTTACAACCGGAGGACTGACTGGAACAATTTACCAGTTAGATTGCATGCATGTTCAGAATGAATAAGTGTTTACTGTATTAGTGTTGTTCTAACGTGAAATATATTTACTTATTTCGGGAAAAATGTAAGTGTAATTGCGTTAGCAACCTTTATGTGGGTAGTCTCTGATTGATTCATTAGACGAAATGCAAAAGTAATACTCTACAAATGCAAAAGTACTGTTACTTTTATTTTAAGCTGGTCGTCGATGCCTTAGAATTTCCCCGAGCCTGCCCATTCGTATTGCATGCAGCTGTATTTTTATTCTATGCTGTTTATCATCAACTGACATTTGACTTCCATTATGTCAAATGTCAGTTTAATGGCGCCAAAAAAGAAACTTACAGCACGTAGCAGATAACTCCGATGGACCACATGTCGGTGCCGTATCCGATCTGGTCAAAGTTCACCACCTCGGGCGCGACGAACTCTGGAGTTCCGAACAGCACCTGCAGCTTCTTCTCCGGGTCGTAGAACCGCGCTAATCCGAAGTCAATTATTTTTATTCTGTTACCGGCCTTCGTCAGGCACAAGATGTTTTCTGGCTGAAATAAAAAAAAAAAACGTTGATAGTGTCATAAGAAGGCGACATTAATTTAGCTGCATTTTATTATAATTCGTCAAAATATTTTTCATAGTTACTAAAATAAAAATTCTTTGAATAAATATTTAAAAAAAAACTCAGAAAAAATTTTGCCAAATGATTTACTATTCCAACAAACGAAACCAATTGGCGATTGCGTCGTCCAAAATTAAATAACATGAAACAAAAAAAATAAAATAAGAACGTAAAAACGCGCGCTTTGAAAACACGATCATGGCGGCCCATCGTAAAACTCCCGCGCTTTTCCGCCATTGCTGATTAATTTTTTGGAGCCGCACCAAGACGTGGACGTGGGAGATCTCAACGAATTGTGATTTTGATCGAGGGAAAATTTATAGCCGCGCCGTATGTAAAGAAACGTCTTTTGTTGAGCAACTCGCAACGGTCTTGCAGCGTAATATTATGTACGAGATCGCATCGTATTATTGCTCAGCAATGTCGGAGTATCTGAGGACATTCGTCGATGAAATCTAAGCATCTGTATAAGTGTGATGCGTCAGTATGCTGTCTTCTTTGTTTATTAAAAATACTCCTGGTTTAGTAAAACTATTCCCAGAATTGTGATGGAAATTAAAAAATTGCCCAAAGTCAAGGATGATTATCTTTTTATTGAAAAAAAAAAAAAAAAAAAAACTAAAACGTTGGCCCAATAATAGCATAAAATGAGAAAATATAGGTCGTTTCGTAATTTGCGCATGGAAATTCCTTCCACGAGCTTTTTATTTCAAGGGGAAACTGTATTGTACTCCTATTCACCTACGATGGTTTATGTCGGGCTGCTACCGGCTAAATTCAAATGAGAGATGACCAAACTTGTGTGAGAAATACAAAACGCATTAAAAAAAAACGCATCCGCGGTTGCTGCCGCTGAATAGCCGGATCTCGGGAACATGCAACCCCTGATACCTTTTTTCTTGTTATCGGGGGAGGGAAATCTTCAAAAGATAACCTATCACGTTACATGACAGGGTTATGTGAGGTTCTTTCCCACTAAAACCCCTTCGGTGGCCTCGTTTGGAGGGACTCCGGGATCTCCTACGGAAAACACCGGTGTCCATCAGTACTGCGCGTGAGCACTCCCCGGAGAAGGATAGCTTCCCCGGTTCCCTCACCATCTTGCAGCAGCTCGGGACCACTTCCAGCTGCTGCCAGCCGTGTCCCCTTTTAGTCGCCTTTTACGACAGGCAGGGAATACCTTAGCCCTATTCTATAAGCCCACGACTACAGGACTGAGCCCGCGACTACAGGGCTGAACCCCTGATACCTACGCCGTCATGATAAGCCGGAATGTCTTCGACCCATTATTCTGATCAGGGCTAACTACGTGGTGCTTTAGAATTGGGTCTAGTGCCTTATTCACCTTCATGTCCAGATGCAATATGTTTTGTCTGTGCACGAACTCTATGCCCTCGCATATTTGCCGCATGAAAACAGTGCACGCCCGCTCCGTCAGCACGAAGTCCTCGTCGATCACACGCTCGAAGAGTTCCCCGCCCGTAATTCTGGAAACAACAAATATAGGCCATTAATAAACAGCCATTTCTGAAGAATGATCCAGAGGAATGAATGGGGCAGATAAGACTATGAAGTCACTAGAAAACTCCTCATATGACATTTTTTTTAAAATAATAAATGATTTATTTAATACCACAACTAAAATTTTTAAATTTATCGATAAACAATTTTTGAAAAAGATTTTAACACATGCTTAGTTGTGGATCCCTGGTGCCTGCAGTAGGTATTGAAAACATTGATTGTCCTCAAACAGAAAAGATGATTGAAATTCCCAATTGATGCAAATTATGCAACGTTTTTGGAGGTTAAAACAATCATCACTCTCCTCTAGAATGCCCAAATTTCACATCGTTATGTGAAGATAAAATATAATTTAAAGTATAACATAAGTATTGGTTTTTGCTATTAGTTTTCTGGTATTACGTATATCACGTGCTTTATTTATAAATATATTGGCATTATCGAAAAAAAGTTTAGATAGAAATTATCGCGTTAGGTTAATTTAATTACATTAAAAAATATATTTATTTTTGTTTCAAGATTTTATGTTAATTTGTTATTCGTAGAAACAGCAACATTAAAGCCCGGTTTCTGAAACACTGATCATCGTAAAAGACAACTAATCAGCTGACAAATGGCTTTTCAAATGTTATTTGATTTGCCAAAAGGATTGTTACACTCACTGAATTGATCAGAATGATCTTATTAATAATGATCAGAATGGTCAGTGTTTCGGAAACTGAGAAGTGTTTCATGTTCTGTAGTTAATTAGGGCCATCGAAATTTTAATCAACGTTAACTAGTGTGAGCCAAAAATGTAGAAAATTTGAACCGTGGTTGTTCATAATATTGAGGTGGATGTCTTATGTAGTAACGTGTTGTATAACGTGTTTAACGTAAGAAAACAGCGCCAGTTTTAATATTTCATTAACATCCTAATTATAGGCATTGAAAGATGTCACTCAACCGCAATGGGTTTTCGGAAGCGACCAGAAATTTCTGGGAAGAGCAACCCGTCAGCTAAAGCTGCCAAATAAGTTAACGATGCCATTATTAATGGATATCCAAACATATGTATAGGGTTACCAGGCAAAATTGTTCGACAGTTACGAGGAAAAGAAAATATATCTCGTGCAAATTTCATTACCACATCCTGTGATAAAACGACAAACTCGAAAATTAAAATTTACGCAAATTATAAAAGTAAGTAAAATTGTAACTAATAAACATTGATACCTAATGATACAAATGAATGTTGACTGTATTGTATTTTTATCGTATATATTATATTAAGGGATTTATTATAAACGTTCCAAGATTAACTTTTCGAAGACCTTGGCAAGGAACAGTTTAATGTCTAATCGAAGACGTAAATTTGTTTAGACACTGATAAAACTTGTGACCCAATTAATGTTTTTAGGAGCAAGAGTGACAATTATTTTGTATCGCGATAGGATAGATCCTCTACGCAGAACAAAAACAAGTATTGAAGCATTTAATAGAGCATAAATCGATTGCTATTTAACCCGCTAAAAATAAAAATCGTTTGGCATTGATAGAATCTTTGTTTGTAGCGTTGGTTTTGGCATGTTAGATGTAAGAAAATGGCCAATACGCCAAAAGTAATCCTAGCGTACGGCGTGGTTTCCCGATGGCCGCATGTGTAGGATCATTGGCGCCAAAATAGACCGATAAATAGACGCGTAGTTGCGTACAAGGTCGGTGTCAAGTCAAGCTTCCTTGTATATAGCCGTCTCGCTTTCACTAAAGAAATTGGAAAGAGACTTTCACAATCGCCTAGAAATCATCGTTTTCAAGTTCACGTTAATTTTACTTGTACTAAAGCATTCGTTTTTAATGTTCCTATTTTAAATAAGGATAGGAGGCGATGCTTTTACAAATTATTTAAATTAAAACAAATAATCATTACATTGAGATCATACTGATGTCACATAATTATAACATGGTTCATAGTATTTAATCACAATTTGGTTATCCAGCAAGCTAATAATCACAAAAAAGGTTATAAATTAACATCAGAGTAATTAAATTGCCTATGAATACAAATTTATTGAATTGCCTAATCAAAAAGGATAATCAGTCTACTAAACAACACAGAATTGATTAATCGATAAAAAAGTCTTTCTTTCCAATAAATAATATAATAAGAATATAGGTCATTTAGACAATTGATTACAGTCTGCAGTATTATAGTTGGAGATAATAACGTTTTTCGAATTACCCGTTTCATCAGAAGCAAATTAGACCAAGGGGCAAAATACAGTTGGCACCAGCCACGGAATCCTGTTTGTCATAACCGCGAGCTAAAATCACAAGACCGAATTCTGGGAAGCGAAACAATGATTATCTATTCGGCCACACCAAAGAACATCGCTTGACTATTTTCATTCACGAATCGTCGGTGTCACGTGTAACGTGTCGCGATATAAACTTACAACCTTGACTGGTTTATGGCTTTACTCGAAATAACAACAGTAATTGTAAAAGAACGTGAGATATCGCAGAATTTTATGAGCACGATTTAATTGCTAAGTATAACGCGTCTCTTTCGCAATTTGCGAAACATCACGCCCGGTTCCTGAAACATTGATCATCATACAAGTTAACTACTGACAAATCAGCTGTCAAATGGTTTTTCAAATGTTATTTGATTTGCTGAACTGAACTGAAACGATGGAGGGCGAGTGCCATTCGTTTCGGAAGAGCGGTTCATTTCAATCTGTTGATTAAGCATTGGTTCCGAAACTTGAAGAGACAGCTACTGTACTACAGTAATACTGGTTTGATTGAAATTATTTAAATTATAAATTCAAATTTGAATTTTCCTTCATCTTTGTAAATTTGTAACGGTTTTCAGCTTTTACCGAGAAATTGAGATACCACTTTCTTTAATACTTGACAAACTTCTAAAATCTACCCTTAAACGTATAAAGAAATGGTTGATTTATTTTGTTCTAGTTTTTTTCTATTAAAATATATTATGTTACTTTACTCTTAGTGTGTACCGTGTAAAGGATTTAATAGAACGCAATTTAGATTATCACGTAATAATTACAACAATTGCTCTCCCTTAGTCATAGTTTATTTATTCGATAGGAAGGCGGCTTTTTCTAAATATAATTGCAGAACGTCTCAATGAGTCGTGTGCGTCATCGAAGGATTACTTTTTGCGTCTAATGACGTCACAGCGCCTGTTTTAGTTGATATTTATTTCATTGCGCGAAATTTGTGGGCGATGAGCAAATTTTACGTTGTACAATTCGCTGTGACGACAAAAACATCCTTTTTATAAAACAATTGTGTCAAAAGTTTCGCTTTTTCTCAATAAGATAAAACAATACTTTCTTCTTTTTACGCGAATACATTATTTGTAATTAAATATCTATTTATGTTCATATTTATAATTAATATTTATATTAAATTATAATGTAATTTGAAAAAATTTAGCTGCTTTTTTTATTTTTTTTTCTGTATTTCTATTTATTAATTAATATTGCCATTTATAAATCAATTATCTTATTAGTGCTCTATGTAAATGAAGGAAAGTTGTAGGTATATGAATTTCAACAAAAATTATGTACTTTGGACGAATATTTATTTAAATCAATAAAGGTCTCTCTTTTGTCATTTTCATCTATAATTTATGAATGAATTTAATTTATCTTAGGTACGTAATGTTGTCATAAATACCGTGCGTTTCACGGTATTTATGTACTTATGGAATCTGATTCAACGAACATATCGTCTATGCAGGTAAGTTAATGACCTTTATTATATATATTACAACTTTTTAATATAATTGCATTAATTTATGTTTATGGAATATAACATGCATTTTATTCTTGTTGTGTCATATGGTGTTTTCGCTTTCAGATTACAAGGAAAAGAAAAGAACTCTGGACATTTTCCTTAGATACAGAGCCTGTGATAGGACTACAATTTCCATGAGCGATGGTATATATATGACTTAAATGTAAACCTAGAGTCTAGAGTATTGTTTAGTCTGATCTCGAGGTATCTGTTTCTTAATGTATTCAAATGAATTCAATGGCTGTTGTCCCATAAGCCAATATAGATCCACATTGTTCCATGTTTTTAAGTGGCAAACGAGTAAGCGGTTCATCCGATGTTAAATGAGTTCCACAGCCCATGGATATCTGCCCCATAACGACACTTGTTGCAGATGCATTGCGATTCTAAGACTTAAACAAACGAAATGCAGTCATATGCTCTTAATGCGGCCCATCACACAGTCAAAATGCTACTTATTGATTGTAAATAAAATATCATTCAGCAATATAGGAGCGATTCTGACAAGTGACATATTCTTAAGCGGTTCGCTTGTACGAACTAAAGCGACGAAGTGATGGCTAATGAGCCATTGCCAAATAAATCATGTTTCTACAAGACTAACACATGTAAGTTAGTAGGTGACATTATAAATTTACAGGAGCAATGGGTTAAATGAACGAAACTAAACTATCATTATTGCGCGTTGTATCTTAGTTTTCATGGCAAGTATTACCACGTTATTTTTGCCCCAAGACATGTATTATTTCATATTAAAGATATAATAAACTGCAAAAAAATATGCGCAAGATTCTTGTGACTAGTTTAGCTTGATTTGGTTCTTAGACGCTGGATTACAACACTGTTATATTCTTTGAATAACAGCCAATCATATATTATACAAATTCGTTACATTTACTGGGAGTTAACTGGCAAATAGCATCATCTGTTGCAAAATATTAGATTTTTAATTTACCTATACAATCCTGCGATCAAGAAATCCTCTGTGTAATCTTATTTAAACTTTCAACCCCATACAGTGTAGTTGCTTTAGTATCTACTTTGCAAATCAATCATTTATAAACTGTCTGTGTGTTATGTTTATTGAATGATGTATTGTAATAATGTGTACATTACATGTTTCTTAACGTTTATAATATAACAATATATATCGGAC